GAGAGAGAGAGAGAGAGAGAGAGAGAGGAGAGAGAGAGAGAGACAGAGACAGAGACAGAGACAGAGACAGACAGAGAGACAGAGAGAAAGAGAGAGACTCTGCATGTCTACATGTCTGTGTGTCTGTGCTGAGGAAGAGGAACATCCAATCCTGAGTCAGAGAGCTCACAGTGGTGTAAGAGATCTCTTGGGAGCCCTCAGTGACTCCCTGGAGACCATTTAGTGCATATGTATGTGCACACACACACAGGGAGGATCAAGGACATGGAAGGAAGGAGGAAGAAATCAAAGGTTGTGGGTGAGAGCCTGACAAGAGGCCAACTCCTTGTCAACCCCATTTTCTCCCTATCTTGTTGTCCCCCTGCAGATTGCACGAGAGCTACATCAGTTCACTTTTGACCTGCTAATCAAGTCCCACATGGTGAGCGTGGACTTTCCAGAAATGATGGCAGAGATCATCTCTGTGCAAGTGCCCAAGATCCTTTCCGGGAAAGTCAAGCCCATCTATTTTCACACACAGTGAAGCTTTGGAAGCCTTCATTTTGTCACCCCATCCCACTTCTTTTTTCAGATATCTTCTGCCTGTTTTAACTCTGCACTACTTCTCTGCAGTGCCTTGGGGAATTTCCTCTATTGATGTACAGTCTGTCATGAAGATGTTCCTAAGTCCTCTTTGCTGGGCTTTTTTTCTCTTTCCTCCTTTCTTTTCTTTCCCTCTATATCTGACTCTTCCATGGCACTTTCAGACTTTGCTCCCTGCCGTGGCTCTTATCTGTGTTTTGAATGCTGTTGTACTTCTTTAAATCTGTGACGATCCTCCTGTGGCGCGGTGTCAAGTTGTGCTTGTTTATAGCACCGCGCTGTGTGCCAGCCACACAAACATTTACTCACCTCATGCCACGTGAAGTTTAGAGAGCTAAGAGCATCTGGGAAAACACAACAAACAAACAAACACAAACCCAACTTGCTTGGACTTTTCCCTCTTAAAAAATATGAAAACAAACAGAAATCCCCAAAGAGGCCAACAGTAACTAGAATAAGGTGAAAATTGCAAGCCTGTGGGGAGTCACTGCTCTTTTTCCCAAAACTCTCTCTCCCTGGGAGACTTTATTTTCTGCCAATGGCTATTGCCTTTAAAGGGCAGGGTGACCCTACAGCCGAGGTGGGGGGGCAGATTTAAGAGAGGACAGAAAGGACAGATGGATCACCAGTACCTGCCCACAGCCTTGGCCCCTGAGGGCGAGACTGCTCAACCGCAGTGTAATTCATGGTACTGAAAAATGTGCTTCTTGTTTGAAAACTTGTCTGTACGTGAATGCCCCCCCCAACTCCTTTTCTCTCTCATCCTCTGCCTCCACCCTCAAATTGACTTTCAATAGCTTTTCTAAGAACTTTGAAATTAATGTTCTCTTTAGCCAAAACTTGGCCACTTCCACTGAAGAATCAGATCAGCGAGAAAGAGAGGAGAGATCTGACCTTTTGGAAGGCCCCATTTCACTCCAGGTTGGCTTTCCCATTTGTGGCCCAGGGAGAAGCTTGGGCTGGAGTCAGAGGAAAAGGAAGTAGTGGCTTGACTGTTCTCTGCCTAGGACACTGAAGATTTGATCCCTCTTTGCCACTACCTTTAAAAGACTTGAAAGGTTTCCACCTGACTCCACGTAGCTGCAAGCACCATCCACCCTCCCTTCAGTGTCTCATGGGCCTGAACTTCACCAGACTGCATTATAGCCGAGGTGGTGAAGCTTGTCCACTTCTTTGGGCATGTTCCCAGACTCTCTGCTAAGAACCCCCACCACCAAGAAGGCTAGCTGCAAGCCAGCAGTCTTGATATCTTTCTCTAGATGCCGGTGGGCTCAAAGACTTCTTACCAAATGTTTCTCATCAACTATCAGATCTCTGGAGCCCTTAGACAAACTGGAAAGGAGGCGTCTATAGGATTGGACAAGCTGGGCGTCTTGCCCTTTGTCCCCCCGAGATGACACCTTCCCACCAAGTAGAGAAACGTCCACTTCCTCCTTCAGAGCAGCTAAAGGGGCTACCCAGAACAGGGTTGAAGAGAAAACTCAATTATCCAGATGGGAAGACTAAAGGCACTAAAACCAGAAACACTGTAATTGCTCTCCTTGCCAGGCAGCATATCCACCTGCAGACGTCATGGGAAGAAGAGAGAAGTAACCAAAAGGAGACTGACTACTAAATCAAAAGTCTTCAGTAGCAAAGTTTAAAGCCAGATGGACACCATCTGGTGAGTTTACTCACCATCCTACTCTGCTGCTGATTCTAGGCTCTGACATTGGCCATATTCACTCAGACTCCCCACTTTTATAGCTGCCTCTCAATCAGAGGAAGTTGAAACATTGAGACTACAGAACCATGGCCTCCTTTGGAAAGGTCTGGTTGGTGTGGCTCCAATGAGCTGCCACTCGTGGACTCTGGGTGTGTTCCTGGGACACTAGTTTCATATAGTCCTTTGGCACACTTCTGTTCTGTTGATTTTGTCCCCTAATCATGAGTATAGGGGAATGTCCACCTACTTTCTCATCTTGGCCACTGCCTTCTCACTTAGCTCTTAAATTCATCTGCTAAACTCAAGAAATTAGGAGCCAGTCACCAAGCTGCCCATTTCAGTTGATTCACTCTACTTGTTGAGAAGACAGTTTTTGAGTGACATGATATGATCTACATGGGTTTCCTCCCCTGATTTCTATTGATATTAATCGCCAAATGAACTTGCAAAACAGCTTCTTTAAATAACAAGGGAGAGGGGAACCTAAGATGGATGAGATACCAATCCAAGACTGCTGTACAAAACTAAAACTGACAGGTTATCTTTCTGGGGTAGGATAGACAAATCCTGGTTTTCTTTATTATGACACCATTTGGCTTATGTAAGCTCACAGGATCACTTTTAGCTGTTTTAAACAAACGAACAAACAAAACCAACAAAACAACAACAACAACAACAAAAACCACCAGTCTTTTCATTTAAACTAGATTACATTTTTACATCTGTTTTGAAATGATTTTCCTCTGTTGTGGTACCTGGATTCGATTATATCATTCTAATACTTCTCTTTGTAAATACTAGATGATCTCCTTTCCATTTCTCTGGCTATCAGATTTTTCACCTTTATGGATTTACCAATTTTGACTCTTGTCTTTATGAATATATGTTTCTCATTTCTGAAAGCCAAAAATCAGTGAAACAGCAGTGTAATTAAAAGCAGCAACAACTGGATTATTCCGAATCTCTAAATGGCAAGACGAGGGAAAAATGGCTTAAGCAAGCACTTAAGCCTACTGTTTTTGCACTGTTATTCTATAAGCAAAGGAGATTTTAGCTTGGCTTTGTCTCCCACAGATGAAAGGGGAATTTTTTTTTTTGGCCATTGATGTTCCAGCCAGTGTAATTGACAGAAGTCTCATTCTGCATGCACTCTGCTCTACAAACAGAGTTGATGTGGTTGGTACACTGTGTTCACCCGTGAAGGATCAGCTGCCCACACTCACTCACCTGGTGAGCTTGAAGATGAGAATCACTCACCAGGCAAGTCATGGGGACTACTTCCAAAGAGTTTGCAGTGTTCAATGGGGATGGAGAGTGAGGAACTGAAAAAGAAGGAGCACCAGGGAGAAAATCCTGTCTTTACTGGGCAGCAGACAGCTGCCAGGTTCACAAACTCTGGTCAAAGAAGAGTCGTGTGGCAGTTTCAGCTCTTGTTCATTGGGCAGCTTGCCCAGGCCTGGCCTCTGAGTTGAAATGGGGGTTGGGTTCTTTGTTCCATAGCTTTTCTATGCCACAGACAGTATCTTTGTTCTTGGAGAGTTCATTATTTTTTTAATGAGAAAGGAATTTTTTGAAGGATTCTGTCATATATCTTTGAAAAAGAAAATCAGTACTACATGTATTTTTATATATGTTCACTGGCACTAAAAAAAAAAAAGAAAAAAGAGCTTCACTCTGTTCTTTGGGTAGTTGCTGAGGTGATTGTCCAGTCTGAGAAATAATGTGCTGATGCTAGAGTCCTTCTCTGTCCATATTCTACTTCTAAATGCATATATGCATATATAGCAAGAAGTATTTGTACTATATGAGAAAATAGGTCCACCATCCACATGATACTAACACTACACAAATGACCTAACTTTAAGCATCAAGTAGCTTCTAACTGTTTGCTTCGTTAGGCACAGCACAGACATGGCCTTGCCCTCTTTTCTCCCTTGATATTTGGCATGGCCCAAAGGCCAAAGCCACTCCCTCTACCCGTTTCCAGCCTTGTGCGAGGGTTACACTTCATAAGACTCTCTTCAGACAGCCCAGTAACTATCCATGCATGGTTCCCTGCATGGCCCTGGGAAAACAAGAAGTTGACTACTAATTATCCTATGCCAGTTGCTCAGGTGAGAGAGCACTGGGCCAAGGGAGTGGCCTTCATGCTCAACCACCTGTAGGGGGGTCACAGGAACCAGGAATGCTAAAACACAGGATCAAATCCTAAATATAAAGTCAAAATAAGTAATTTATCATGTGCAATTTCTTGTAAAGGGAAGTTTCTACCCCTATTGCATTTTATAGGCAGGTCTGTTCTCACCACTAATCTCTTTCAAAAATCTTTGAAAGCAGTTAAAAAAAAGACAGAAATGAAAGCATCACATTATGTAACCAAAGATTGCACTGTATCTGCTAAGATACCAAAATTTTTAGGGCATGGAGGGAGCAAGCATTAGTGCCTCTTTGGTAAGCTGTCCAAAGACAGACTAAAGGACTTTGCTGGTGACTGATTTATAAGAGTTTTGTGGGTTCCCTCACATACAATATACACGTTTAGAAAGGTGGAAGATAACTTTGAAAAAAATGGGATTATGGGTCCTTCACTAAGTGATTTTTATAAACAGAGCTAACTTTCCTTTTCTCTAGTAGTTGCTGAGCAAATTCTTAAAGCTCCATCATTGCATGGTTGGAAATGGAGCTGTCTTGGTCACTGTGTTTGCTAGTGCCAATGTTAGCTTATCTGAAGATGTGAAGCCCCTTGCTGATAAGGGGAGCATTTAAAGGAATAGATTTTGCACTAGAGGGACAGCAGGCAGAAATCCTCATTTCTGCCCACTCTGAATGGCACAAAATAAAGTTCTCTGCGGTTTAAGGCAGAAGGTTGAAATATATTGTAAATGAGTATTTGTATCCATGTTTCAAAATTGAATTATATATATATAGATATAATGTGTTCTGATAGCTTTACCTTTCTCTGCACCTTTATATTTGGTTCCAGGTCATAATTGATACCATGTACTTGTGAGAGAGGCTACAGCTACATTTTGGAAGCTCTCTCAGAGTGTAAAAGACACCTGGGATGATCGAACAACTGAGATATCTCTGCTCCTATTGGGGTCTGACCCACAGGCCTTGCCAAGGAGCAGAGGAGGGAAAAGGGTAGGGTACATGATGTATTGCACTTTACTAGCCCAAGACAGATGAATGTGTAAAGGGTGGTGGAGTCTCATTGGAACCAACTGGGATTTGGGTAGGGAAGGCCCAGACGTCCACCTAAATGATCAGCCAGTGGCCCTCTAACGGGACCTGAGCGGTTGCAAGAAGGAAGGATATTCTTTGTTCTTCACCATCCTTGTGAGAAAAGGGCAGTTTCCTGCACTTGGGAACCTGGAGCAAGTGCTCCATTTCAAACAATTCATTCACCTACGATTGAGGTGCTTTTGCTACTGGGTGTCTATGTGCTCTAATTCTGGTTTTTGATATGTTCTATAAAGATTTTGACAATGAAAATTTGTTTTTCTCTGTTAAAAATTATCAATGTACTAGAAGTAGTATCTGTAGGTACAGGTCCATCTCTGCCCACAGGTAGGGGTGTTTTTCTTCAATTAAGAGATTGACACTGGGGTCTGTTGCTCAGAGCCTCCCAACACTTAACCATCTCTAGGTGAAGGCAGAAAAATCCACATTAGTCACTCTTCATACACTTTAGCTGAGGTAACAAACCATTTGGAATATTCCCACCCCCAAAATAAGTGGTAAATATTTTCATTTAGCAGGTAGAGTCTTACAGGGAAAAATAGCCCTTGACTCAGCTTTGATTTCTCCCCATTAGATTTGTCCAGAACATAGGTAATATGCATTGATTAGTTTCCAATCCCAATTCAGTATAGCAGGGGTGTGGTTCCTTTCCTTATCTCACTTGTCTCTTAGCTTTTTATGGAATTAAATGAGAAGCTATGATCTGAGTGGCCCTTGTGGCCTGAAACAGTTCCCACATTCACGATTCAACAAGGCTGTCATATAGCGACAGATTCCATTAGTCACCAAAAACTGGAACACACACATGCCCCAAGGAAAGAAAATTCTGAAATGCTGCTGCTTATTTGGTGGTGCCCTCCTGGGCTAATGCTTCACATTTTGGGACTCTGTTCCCTGCACAGCAGACAGGCCAGGCCTGCAGTCTCTCCCAACCTTAGCCCTTGGTGCTAACTGTCCTGCAGTGAAGTGCCTATAGGGTTGCCCTATCTCATAAGTCACTCAGGTGCTGAGAGTAGCCACCATTGGGATGACCAAAACTAAAAAAAAAAAATAGTCCCTTCACCATTCAGTGACACCTTTCTGCTTTCCCCTAGACTGGAACATTTATTAGGGAGTGCCTCAGACATGACATTCTCTCACTGTCCTTGAGATTAATTTGGCAGTAGGAAGCAGCAGACTATGTCACCGGATGTAAGAATTAATTTTTATGTTAAGGGAAAAAATGTTAATAGAAAGCATCACATAAAGTTTTTTTTAAAGAAACTTTAATTTTGCTTGAAACTTCTTTCGATGGGGCTTCAGTTCTCATAGAGGCACTTGGCCTCCACTGGGCAGCAGGACCAGCCCCAAGCGCTAGTGTTCTATTCTCTTTTTGTAATCTTGGAATCTTTTGTTGCTCTAAATACAATTAAAAATGGCAGAAACTTGTTTGTTGGAATACATGTGTGACTCTGGGTTTGTCTCCGTCTCTGCTTTCAGAAATGTCATCCATTGTGTAAAATACTGCTTTGCTGGTCTGCCAGCTAAAACTTGGCCACAGCCCCTGTTGTGACTGCAGGCTCAAGTTATTGTTAACAAAGAGACCAGAGAAAAGCTGCTAATGTCCTCTTATCACCATTGTTAATTTGTTAAAACATAAAACAATCTAAAATTTCAGATGAATGTCATCAGAGTTCTTTTAATTAGCTCTTTTTATTGGCTGTCTTTATTGAAGTCAAGAGTTGGTATCATGCCCAGTGGCTTTTTAATGCTACTTTGATTTTCACATATTTTTAAAAATCTTTCCACAAGGGTTATAAATTTGTCCTGTGTTGACCTTAGCATAGGTTGACCTGGGACCACCAAAATATCAAAAGGTATGGGCTAGAAAGCACAGATGGACAATGGTGGCCCATTACAACTTCTCATCAAAAACCCTGAGCTTGTCAACCAGGAGAAAGCTACACAAAACCCAGCTGCTCACCCTCATTCTCATCCTTTTGGGGGCACAAAATAGGTGGGGGCTTCATGCCCAGTTCTTGGCAAGCTTCAGATAAGGAATGGGCATGTTCACATTCTCATTGCTTTTCAGGAGCCATATCATCCTTGACCACCTATGTAAAATCCAAGCCAGACTTCTTTAGGATTTACAAAAGTTCAAATAAAGACCCCCCACTCTCCCACCCCACCCCATCTCCTCACAGTTTGAATACTTAATGCAATCCCACACTGAATTCTGGGCTTGAAATACAGGTCATCAATGACAAGTGACATGTTAAGGAATAATAGGAAAGTTCTCTTTGTCTCAGTACCTTCATCTGTAGTAAGGGTTGTCACAGTACCTCTTTACTGGACTGGGTTGAGGATTCAGTAAGAATGTATATGACCCAGCTGTTGGGCTTATTGCTCTGGCTTTGATCCCTGCTAAAATGCCAGAACCCCTGAGAGAGATCCCACAGTGAGCCATATGTGTCATTGACCACCTCAGAATGGATGGATTTCACAAAATTTTCCTGAGAACAGTGCTTGATGGAGGGAAAAAAACAAGAGAGTCTTACGATGTGTGTTTGTGTGTGTTTAAGAAGAGAGAGAGAGAATATAAATGTGGGTTGTGTGTGTAAGTCAGAGCCTGCCTCCAGAAGAGACCCTCTGACCACCATTGCTTAGATTCTCTTCTCTTGGATCTACAGACAGTGACCTAACAGCCACTCTACTTGGTTTAATTTACCACTAAGCCCCTATCTAAACTGACAAGGTACGTAGCATCCACCATAGGCTTTATAAGGAGTAGCAAAGCACAGAGGCAGGGGGAAAGACACCTAGTGAATTAAAAGGAGCCTGGAGGCAGGAGTCCTATATGTGATTTGATCATGGCCATACAGTTAGTGTATAACCAGGATTCTGGCCTGCTGATTCACTGTATGATACTTGGCAACCCTCTGCCCCTTTCTGGACCTTAACTTTCTCATCTGTAAAATGAATGTGTCTGAAGATGTGGAATAGGAAGATGAGATGGGGAGCCCCTTCCAATCTGGACACCATAGTTCTTGCAAACTACAGCAACACTTCTTAAAATCATAACATAAAGGTGAAAGGAATAGGCCTTCTATTATCCCTAGAACACATTCTAGTTTTGGAACTAGAATACCCGTGTTTGTACTCAACAAAAATTTACCAAACACCTAGGGCAGGGGGGTCAAAGCAACAATTGAGTCTTGTGTAATAGATTCTGTCAACCCCTTGATGGACAGAGATACCACTCAAAAGTAAAATAATTTGTTTACCATTTAGATGATCTCATAAATAGCAGAAATAAGTAGGAATTAAGTCACAGTCCATGCTTCCAGTGAGTTTACAGTCTATTAAATATCTTAAGCCAGGCCAATCTGGGACTTCAACCTATCATCCACCCCAAAGCCTCCCACATCTATCCCTCAGACAAATTGGGCTGGCCCCTGATTTATAATTCCTGCCTAAAAGGGATCGAAGGGCTCTTAGATAGCATCTATCCCAAATTTCATGGACCTGCAGGCAGCATGCCAGGGTGGCAGGGCATCTGAAACTCCCTACATCCCCTTGCATATTGATGTAGAACCTTTATGAGAGAGCCTCCACTTCTCATCTGTGGTTCCCATGTATACAGCCCAAGGATCTCTACTCCAACTGCAATGCATACTTCACCTCCCACCTACTCCCAGAGGTTTTCTGCATGCCACTGTGGGGAGATGAGCGAAGGAGAGAATTATTGAGGGAGCTGGAGTAGGGACTGTAGAAGCAATGAGAAACATTTAAAAGACACACAGAAGTATAAAATACTAGTTTTCTGAGTTAACAGGCAGATGCACATGATTCAAATCCACAGATTCTTCAGCCACCATTTATTAAGGTCACTACTTCCCTTCTTACCTCAACTTCTTTTCCAGGGTGCTTCAAGCAAAGAGAAGACCATTTGCTGAACTTGGCCTGACTGCCAACCAGCGAGACTTTATCAAAAAAAGCTGACTTAAGCCCGACTCTATGCAAGCATTGCCTCCAATCCCCATTGGGGCACTTCAAATCTCAGACCAGCAAATAGGCCAACAGAGCAAGAAGATGCCATGAGAAGCACATCACTTGCCACCTGGGCAGTGACACTTGTCCCCAAAGGAAACCAGTTTTTTGATGCTTACACAGAGTGCTAAGAGTAGATAATTTTAGGGTTGGACTAACTTTGTGGGAGAATCTCACCACCCCAAAAAATCACAAGGACTCTTCACAGGGCGCAGTATCCAATCATCCAATTATTCATTTGTTCTTTCATTTATTCAACAACTATTTATTATTCAATGGCAAATGTATAATCACTATGTACCACATGTCAAAACAAGATAGACATAGTCTTTATCCTCATGGAGCCACTAATCTAGTGGGAGAGATAGACAAAGACATAGACAATTATAACATAATGTAATGGGTGCTATGGTGAGGGAAGTGCAAGGTTCTATTGGGGTGCAGAAGAAGTCTGGTCTAGCCTGGTCTAGTGTGAAGGTCAAGGAAGACTTCTCAGGCTGTGACCCAGGTTCAGTGAAGATTGAGCTGAAGGTGGAGAAAAGGGCATTCGTCTTCAGGCAAAAGATAGCAACCCTGAAGGGAAAAGACAAAAAGCTTAGCCTGAGGAAAATGTTTGACAAAGGGCATAGGTATGAGAGAAGAGGGTAGAGCAAGAGGCACAAGCAAAAGCCATTGAGGCCCATGTTTCACACTAAAGAGTTGAGCATTTATTCCAAGGTTAAAGGGGAGATATAGACATTTTTTTCAGTTCCCAGAACACATGATCTCATCTGAATCTCATTACATCCTGAAGAGGCAAGGCAGGTCAGGAATCGTCTATTTTGCATATTGGGAAACTGAGGCTCAGCATGGTGAAGTGAATGGCCCAAAGGTGGCTCCTAAGTAATTAATGGCCCTGAGTCCAACCAGAAGCCCTGACTCTCCTGATTTCCTGTAGCTCCTCACATTAGACCAATCTATCAAAAACCTGGACCTGGTATAATTCTTGGAATGTGTTCAAGATTCTCTGTAGTGACAGTATCTACCAACCCACCTATAACTGCCATGGCCTTCCTGAGGTGACACTTACTGATACGAGGTTCCTAGATGGCAGACAGGGCATCCCAGAGAAGAGGAGTAGCATCATCTTAGGAGGTAGTGTGGGCTGTGGGAAGCCAGCCAAATTGGTGCTCTATGGGTGTGGGGACTCATTCATTCATCCAAACCGGAAGTCAGAAAAAATGCTGGAGAAGAAGATACAACATTCCACCTTCCTAGAGATGATGATATCTAACTCAGGCCTTGAACAACGAGATGAAATTCCACAGGAGGGAAAGGTAGCTGAGCAGGCAGGAAAGAATATGGCTTCTGCTTTGGGACAAACCAAATAGGAACTAGTGAGGAGTAATAGTTGGAGATGAATCTGGGCTAGGGCCCATTGTGAAAAGCCTGTGTGTCCTGCTAAGAAACTGAATTTTTTTCTGTAGGCCATTCTCAGTTGCCACATGTGAAAGATAATGGCCATATTGTGTGGGATACTCTCAAGGGATCCAACAGGGTTATATGCAACTCCTGATACACAGTTATCACTTAGCCCCTTTCTCTATCACTTAAGAAAGCAAATACAAATACAAGTGAGAATGACAGTATTGAAAGGAAAAATTTTAACCTCCTATAGTACAATTTCAAGAAAATTATGCATTAACTTCAATGTTTAAGATATTACCAACGAATTACTTACCACACTTTACAACAGATTACAGAACACCAGTTGGAATAACTAATGATTTTGAAACAAAGCTGTGGCTTAGTTAGTTTTGGGATTTGGAAGGTATTCTAATGTATATTATATAAGAATGTAATAGAGAATGACATGGAAGTTGACTTAAGGGAATAATAATAATAATAATAATAATAATAATAATAATAATAATAATAATAAATGTATTGAGCACTTACTTTGTGCCAGGATGTGCTAAAGCTAAACTCTTTATATTATCTTACATAATCCTTACATCAACCCTATGAGTGAGCACAGTTGCTCCCATTATATAGATAAAGAAACTGAGGCTCTTACCCAACATTACTTCTGGCTCAGGCTCAAGTTTACTACTAAGTAATAAAGCCTGTACTCAAAACGAAAGTTTGTCTTTTTGTCAAAGCCTACAATTTTGATCACTGTACTATATTTTCTTTTCTGAAAGCCTGTTTGATTTTCTCAGCCTTTGCAAAGAGGCCCAAGGAACTCAAAAGCAGGCAATATTATAAATAGGAATAAAGAAGGGACTATATCACAATGGAACTCTCTTCACAACTACCTATCCCAGAAATGACATTGATGTCTGGTGTACATGAGTCTGTGATTTCTGCAAAACAGTCACATCCTCCCCAAACTTCAGATGAGTCCTTTTGGAAGGAAAAATTGTCTTCTCCAGCCCTATCATCTCCCAAGTGTGTTGCCAAGCGTCTTGCTGTCCCTTCTTATCTCTGATTAGAGGTACCTGAGGTGCAGCAGTTCACTGGGTGTGCAAAAAAAAGTCCCTATAAGCATATTTGGCTATAAAGCCATGCAGGGGGAGGAGTACTGGATCAAGAATCAGGGTACCAACTTCTTGCCACTAACCAGCAGGTGAATTTTAGCAAGCCCC